AGGAGGAGCTAATACCAATCCTACTGAAGGTATTCCAGGTGATTGAAAAAGATGGAACTCTCCCCAAATCATTTTACGAAGCCAACATCACATTGATACCCAAGCCAGGTAAAGATCCAACAAAGAAAGAGAACTACAGGCCAATATCTTTGATGAACATACGATGCTACAATTCTCAACAAGATCCTAGCAAACCGGATTCAGCAATACATCTCAAAAATCAAACACCATGACCAAGTAAGCTTCATTCCTGGGATGCAAGGCTGGTTCAACATTCATAAAACCATAAATGTAATTAAATACGAAACAGATGTCAAAACAAAAACCACATGATCATATCATTAGACGCAGAAAAAGCTTTTGATAAAATCCAGCACCCCTCTTGATAAAAGCCCTCGAACATCTAGGCATACGGGGAACATACCTCAAAGTAGTAAAAGCCATCTACGAGAAACCCACAGCCAGCATACTCCTAAATGGACAAAAATTGGAACCAATTCCCCTGAAAACTGGAACTAGACAAGGATGCCCATTCTCACCCCTCCTGTTCAACATAGTATTGGAAGTCCTGGCTAGAGCAATAAGAGAAGAGAAGGCAATCAGAGGTATTCAAATAGGAAAAGAGGAAGTCAAGTTATCTCTCTATGCAGATGGTATGATTGTGTACCTTGAAAACCCAGGATAATCTGTCAAAATCCTCCTTACATTGATAAAAGCCTTTGGCAAAGTCTCAGGATACAAAATAAATGTACAAAAGACAATTGCATTTCTCTATACCAATAATAAACAAACAGAAACCCAAATAAAAAACACAATTCCATTCACAATAGCCACAAAAAAAATGAAATACCTTGGCATCTTCCTAACCAGAGACTTGAAAGACCTTTACAATGAAAATTACAAAACACTGCTCAAAGAAATCAAAGCTGACACGAACAAGTGGAAAAATATCCCATGCTCATGGACTGGAAGAATCAACATTGTGAAGATGTCCATCTTACCTAAGGCAATCTACAAATTCAATGCAATACCCATTAAATTACCAACAGTGTTCTTCTCAGACCTAGAAAAAACAACACAGGAATTCATATGGAAACACAAACGTCCAAGAATAGCCAGAACAATCCTTAGCAAAAAAACAAAGCAGGTGGTATCACAATACCAGACTTCAAACTTTACTATAAAGCTACAATCATCAAAACAGCTTGGTATTGGTACAGGAACAGGCATATAGATCAATGGAACAAAATTGAGATTCCAGAAGCAAAACCTCAATTTCTCAACCAACTCATCTTCAATAAAGCCCCTACCACCTACCACTGGGGAGAGGAGAACCTATTCAGCAAATGGTACTGGGAAAACTGGCTGACCAGATGCAGAAAATTGAAACAGGACCCCTATCTATCCCCATGCACAAAGGTTAACTCCAAATGGATCAGAGACCTAAATGTAAAACCTCAAACCATAAGAACCTTAGAAAAGGAAGGAAATACCCTCATGGAAATCGGAATTGGCATACAATTCCTGTATAAAGCCCACAACCCACAGATCATAAGAGAGAAGATAGACAAGTGGGACCTTATTAAACTGACAAGCTTCTGCAAAGCCAAAGAAACCATCAAGAGAGCAGGGAGACAGCCTACAGACTGGGAAAAAGCATTTGCCAACTCTAGGTCTGACAAAGGCTTAACATCCTGGATCTACAAGGAACTGAAACATACTGAAAAGAAGAAAACAAACAACCCCATTATAAAATGGGGAAAAAGATATGAACAGACACTTCACAAAAGAAGATATCCGAGCAGCCAACAAACACATGAAGAAATGCTCAACCTCACTAATCATCAGGGAGATGCAAATCAAAACCACACTGAGATACCACCTAACTCCAGTCAGAATGGCAATTATCAACAACTCATAAAATAACAGCTGCTGGAGAGGGTGTGGTGAAAAGGGAACACTTCTACACTGTTGGTGGGAGTGTAAACTAGTGCAACCTCTGTGGAAAGCAGTGTGGCAATTCCTAAAAGCTCTAAAAATCGACCTCCCATATGATCCCGCAATCCCCCTAG